TGGTATTGTGCGTCCATCAGTTGTGACTTTTAACATGGAATGTAACATAATCCAGGAAATACGCTTTTCCAAAACTGAGTGAGGATAAATGATTGCGGTGCACTCCTGCTTTGAGTGCACGGCAGCCTCCCCCCCACTGCAAATCTATTAAACAAGCTTTTACATAGCTCGAAAACTTGTTTCCCAATTGTTTTCCTCTTTGAAACCCGTCCCCTGTAACCTAGACCTTGGTTATTTCCATTTTTATCACCCATATTATTGGCTGTGAGTTGTTGGGGAGGAAATTACCAAAGCCATGATGATGTGGGGAGATTGAAAACATCTGCAGCTGACAAAAAACAGATTTCACCTCTCCCGTAAGGCCCAAGTCTGTTGTGGGAGCTATCCTGCTTTCCCCATGCATGGCAGGGAAAGGGGGGAGGGGGGGCTGGAACGGAAATAAGAACAACCAAGGAAAAGAAGAAACACAAAAGGGGCGAAGATTTAGCGAGGCAGTAATGAGCTACTGGAAGGGAAAGACCACGTTCAGTTTGATTGGCTCTCCTGTGATTGGTCGGCATTGGCATGCTGGGTAAATATGACCCAGCAGTTAGTAACCGTGGCGATATAGGAAGCAGCAGCCGCGAAGGGACCCACAGTTGCAAGTGTGCGGCTTATGGACGCCCACACTTACACGCTTGAATTGTGTCAAAAAGTTTTAGCGTGTAGCATCTGCTCCTCTTTAACAACAGTCTGCGAAATGTCTGAGAAGAAGAGGCCCGTTGCTGGATCTCTGGCTGCTTACCAGGCCTGGCTCCTCCTTGCCCTTTTTTCATATTTTCATTGTGGCACATGTAGCTCCAGAGCCCGTATAAAGCTTTCAGGTGTGCCCGTTACCAGCACATCTGTTTGTTGTTGTTTATTGTCTGCATAATATGGCTTTAAGCAGCTTTTGTGGATGGCACTGTGAGGTTTTCCTGAACCTGTTCATGTCTGTTTTTTTAATGCAGCTCTGCCTGGGGGCATGAAGATCCCTGACATCCAGTATTCATTTTCAGTTGTGTCCCCTTACACCAGAGAGATGTCTTTTGGTTGTAAAATATTTTGGGGCATATGTGTTGGACTGGAGAGGGGCTGGGAGAGTGGGGGGAGATGTGCAACTACCCTGGGCTAGCTGTTTGGAGGAACTACAGCCTCCGTATATGAAAAGCATGCTACCTCAAGGACGTCCTCAGATTCTCTGATTTGAATGATGATATGCTTTTTTTTTCGTCTGCTGAGTCACCGTGGGCTTCACCGCTCCAACAACGGCTGCTGGCAGACTGAAAAATCGTTCAGACTGATCTAAATGTAAATTCAAAGTACCTTGTTTTTTCCTGCCCAGGGCTTTTGAAGAGAATAATCCAGCATTTCAATGGGTCCCAGTTTTTTTTTTCCCCTCTTCCTTTTTAAGATTCCCAACAGGTGCGAATACCAGAATTGTGAAGTCACTCATCAAAATGAACCTCTCCTTTAATCATGTAAAACTGAACCCATGGATAAATTATAACTGGCAAGCCCGTGTTTGGTTTAATATTCATGGTGGATTATACACAGTGCTTTTGTCCAGAGGGACATAAGGTGAAGTCAAAGTCAGTAATAGATACATCTGATATGCATCAGGCCCATGAAGAGCTGGCTGGAAAACATGAACAGAGAGTAATCAAGCTTTTAAGGGGTGCCCATCATAAAGGGAGATCACCACATATGAAATGAGCAGCTCATTCATCATTCACTCTTTTAGAACATCTGTCATCCATCATGTTGTATTTTTCTTTCCATGTACATCGACCTTTGTCTTCCATTTGTACTCGCTGCTCTTCAAACCGGAGCTTGCTACCGATTTGTGGCGCCTCAAGGTAGATTACGCTTGCATTCAGGGACAAAAGGTAATTTCTTTGTTGAAAGGTAACACCTTCAGGACTGTCTGAGCCATCTGTGAAAACTGACACACATCAACAAGCCGTGAGTGCATTTCAGCGGCGGGCCCTTTGGCTGAACCCCTCATCCCTTTGGAATGGAAGCCTATTAGACCAGCCACCATCTCTCTGAGAGGAAGTTTACACCATGACTCAAAGCCTGTCTTCGCAGGTGTGCAGATACTTGTAAAGTATGGCCTGTGAGGTATCCATACTTTTATACTAAGCGCATTTGTCTGTTCAGTCAACATGAAGTCATAACAGTTTATCTAGCAGAGAAAAATGTGGTGATGTCAGTCTTTATTTGCAGATTCCCGGGCATGACTTCAGATTGCGGTCATAGTAAAAGCTACCATGAGATGGTATAAATCTGAGGGTTCCTATCACACCAACTGTTTTCAGTGATATACTCTGTCATAGGATATTCTAGAGGAAATGGTCTTACCTAAACTAGCTCTATAATTAGGTTTAAGTGAGTGATGCCCCAGTTAGTTTTGACACTTTCACTATACAGTGTCACCCAACTATCTGTAAAAATAAAAAAAAAAGTACTGATTCTGGCTGTTGTGGCTCCGAAGAAATGAAGAACATGCAAAGAAAAAACTCCCTTTCCTTTTTTTCTAAGTGTATCCTGTTTGCCAATTGTATTAAAACCCGATGCACAGATGGAGCACAGACAGCAACATTTAGTTTTGGGCCAATTTTCTATAAATTTGCAATTCCATGAATGTCCCAAACAGAACTACTGGCCTTCGCTCTAATTGTATTTTGAGTTCACAATAGGTTATAAACTGAACAATAACTAAATGACTAAAATCATAAAATTAATTTTAAAAAAATCTGTTTTTGTATGTAACATTCTGCTGCTACAGAGTGGACATGGAAAACTTTAAAATTGGACGGAAAAAAGTTTCTCATATGTGATTGTGTCATTTCTCACCTCTATCTGAGGCCTTTTAGAGTAGAGAGAGTGCTCATATACGTGCGCGGCGCTGAGCCTATCATCCTGACGTGGACCTGAACTCATGTATTCTTGAAGCAACATTGAAGGATGTCGTGATTATCAAATGAAATATTTCCGAGGTTGTGCTTATAGAAATGACATTTTCCTGTCTTTTATTAGTATGCTTCTGGTATTTGTCTGCTGAGGCTAGAGGCTATTTCATATTGTTCTGGTCCAATAGCCCAACCAATGAACACTATCCGTGTTATTGTTTACGGGCGAGAAGGCAAAAGGATAAAGCCAAGGGCCGTACTAAAAATACTGACTGTGTTTTTCTGCTTTCTCTGCACAGACCGTGAGGACCAATCAATCCTTTGCACGTGAGTACAGCATCTATTGACCTTCTTCATTCCTCTCCTCTGCTCTGGTAGTGGCCATGTTAGCAGCTCACTGGGCTGATAAATAACACTGTATCTGAATCTGACTTAGTTCTAAATCACCCCACCATAATAGAGCCTGTTGAGAGTCAGTTCTTGTCCCTGAATTGCTCATACTGTATGTGTAACAGTTATAATAATAGCACCTATAAAGATTACAGTCCAAGTGCTTTTAAATGTGGTTTTTATACTTCTTTCATCTCCATAAAGTCTTTTTCCATCTCCCTCCATGCTTCTCTCATCCTTAGTCAGTTTGGCCGTCTCCCGTCATCCCGCTGGATTTATTTAAAGACGACTTTCAATTTTTTGTGTGTGTGTGTGTGTTGGGGGAGGCCGGGCTGTGCAGCAGCTCCAGCACGGAGGAAGTTACGAGTGTGGTTTGGCGGCCTGCCGTCCACCATGGCAGAGACTAATTAAGTGCCACTCTACTTTAGCATGACATGGGTTAGACAATGCCAGCAAACAACAAGTAGAGTGGTCAGTCCCAAGTAGTAGAAATGCCCCCCCCTGTTGGTGGCAGGGAAGCTGTTTTATTGCACGGTTCAGGTTGCTGTTGAGAAGCGGCTGCTCTCCATCCAAAGAGACCAGTTTCTGGGGAAAAACATAAATAGAGGTTTCCCCTGTAAGTACACAGAGGTCTGGCCCGGCCCAGTCTTAAAGTAATCCAAAAAAGAAATGTGTTGTTGAAAGTGGGTAACTATTTTAACTAGCTTTACTATGACAATCCACCAAAAATTAGAATAAAAGCGGTAAAAACAGTCAGTTGTGCGTATGGGGTCGATATCTAGACCACATTCCAAGGACACCTAGAAAGAAAAAGTTGGGGTGAAAAAGCAATTGTCATGTTATATTCCAAGAAAATACAACATGGAGCTCAGAAGTCTGGGTAAAGGAAATCTTACTTGAGAAAAAAACACCTCCCAAAGTGAAAGGTCCTATAGAGGCCACGTGCTTTGAGCATGTTTGAGGAAAAACCTTTGGACAATCTAGGAAGTGTTTCCATTAACCATATTTTGATTATGGTGAAAAGAAAAAAAAATGACATAGACATAAAGCCAAAGGAAGGCCTGTTCCACCGTTTGACAGTGCCATCGGTGTGCTCGAATTCTGCATTCGAGGACTCGCCCCTCGGATTGAAGAGCAGCATCTAAAACTGCTCAGTACTATGCAGACCAGCGCTAATAACCAGCTTGCTTAAAACCACAGGCATGCAGCTAGATGTGGTGTTGCTGGGGCTGGTTTCGCTGTTGGCCGTGCTTTCGGGGCTCTGGGACCCGACTGTGGGAACTGTGGAAGGCCCTGCCTGAGCACAGCTATTATTACGGACAGCCTAAAAGCTGGGCCCTGGAAACTCTGGAGACCGGCTCACCAGACCACAGCATTCTCCAGTCAAACCTACAAATGGATGAAGTACAACAGATAGTCCACATGCTTACTCCCCGCCTCACGTCTTTTGACTCTACTCAGGCTGTCTTTGATTGCTGCCCAATTGCTCTTTACCACGGCACTCATGATTAGGAGTTATTTTGGTTGGGGTTTTACAGTGTTTTGTCTGTACCTTGCAAAACCGAACGACTTACACAGATGATTCCTCGTAATGTGTTCTGTAATTCATGTCAGTAACAAAACCTTTCCTTTTCTCTACTGGCATGCTGTTTTGTGTCTTTTGTTTTAACCTCTTTCATGTTCTCGTCCAAACCCTTTGTTTTCAGAGGTGAATCAGGAGCTGGCAAGACCGAGAACACGAAGAAGGTCATCCAGTACCTGGCCCACGTTGCCTCCTCGCACAAAGGACGCAAAGACCACAACATTCCTGTGAGCCCCGCTGCTTACGTTTCCCCTCCTCTGTCCCCCTGCCAAGCCTGAGCCTCCATCCCCCCGTTTAAAAGTCATCCCATTTGAACTATATTTGCACAATGACCCATTATGCCACATTAAAAGAAGAACTGAGTCATTTATTTGTGAATCACTCCCATTAAATAAGAAGATTGATAACACATTTTAACTAAACCTTCAGCCACTAAATAGAGAAATGAGAGCACTGCAAACCTAACCACCCTTTCCAAAAATTCACAACTAGTTCTTTCATCTGCTGTAATGTCGCAGGTAAACCTTAGACCGTGGCTCAGCCACGGTAACGGCTTAACCTAACAGATCTGTTCATTTAGCCTGGTGGGCTGACGTGCCTAATGTGTGCTGGCGTTCTGTTTCCTGTGGTTTGTGTCTGACATGAGCGCTTCAGATTTTAACACTTGCATTTGTTTATCCATAACAAACAGCCCGAATCTCCCAAAGCGTTCAAGCTACAGGCAAGTGTATCTCCAGCTTCCTCCAAAGAGTGTGTGTGTGTGTGTGTTAGTGTGGGTGGTCCATTTTGATGTCTGTGTGCATTTGCATGCCCCTTTCCTTAAATCTCTGCCACTTCCACAATGATGGTGTCAGACTATTCTAAGATTTTTTCATTATGAGGTATTTGTTTGTGCTGGCTCAGTCTTCTTATTATTGGAAACCTGGTGCATCTGCAGTTAAACCCGCAGGCTCACTATGATAAAAAGAATTTTAAAAAGCACTGTTTTATCAGTTGGTTTGGATTTATAAGAGTCATTGGGAATTAAAATGTTTGATTGGAAACACATGCCAGTCAAATAGCTGCCATGAATGAAGTCCAAATGCAGATCCGTACAGATCACAGCCACACTAAACATTTCTCCTCAGGCTTTGCTGTTTTCAGTTTGACGAACGACATGTTTTTCCGTACAATATTTGACTTTTAGAAACAAACTGTTTGGGTCCTATTTATGCATGTTTTCTCCTGGTAATAGACTTTAGATGCATGTTTATAGTTTCAAATATATTTAAACTGATTTGGTATGTTATCTTTTTTTCCCCCCACGGTAGCTTAAGTAAAAACTCCCAGTCTGTTCTGACACAGTTCTGTTTTATGGTCCCTGCACAAAACTAGGTTTTTCTTTCTACCCCCCCCCCCCCTTTCCCCCCCATATCAATACCCGATGTTTTTCGGTCATCTGCAAATCTAATAACTGCAGAAGCTGAGGGAGTCTCATGATTCCTGTAACTTCAAACTTGGAGCCCACACAGTCTGAGTAAATGATTTTTCTTTAATAAGCTGCGTTTCAGCTGCTGTCAATCGGACAGCATCGTCCAGACAGACCTCCTTAAGGCCAGACATAGAGGTGGAGAGTAGATAAGGGAATAGGAAAGGTGATCAGTAGGAGGCGTAAAAAGGGGGGATGAAACTTAAGCAGTTTTGGCGGGACCTTACTGTAGTCCTCTGAGATCAGAATGTCAAATTAAAATGACATCCATACAGGCTGTGTGCTTTTTATAAGAGACAGACATTTGCTCAAGTAAATGTGCCTGTTCACAGCTTTGCCAGGGCTCAACATTCTTAAAAAGCTCTTTTTCTGGACTTTGTTTCCTTGTTGTTTCTCATATTGGGTTCTGGCCACGAAAGGACCTTTGTGTTCGATAGTTGGAATCACTTTTTTTTGTATGTATCAGTTTGTTTTACATAAAGATTTAAAATGACCAGTGATGCAAAGCAGTCTTCATCTCTATTTCAATAGATGTTTTATTGGCTCTTTTTTTTCTTTCTTTTTTTTGGTCTGTTTTGAATAGTGTAGGTATAGTTACATACAGGAAATGAGAAGAGATATGCAACAGAGGGAGCTGCGCTGTGGGCGTTGTAGTTATGTGGCATGAGGCTTCACCATCAGGCTACAGAGCACCCGTTGTCTTGTTTTTTTGTCCGTGGTCACTTTATTTTACAAGTAACATTTAGGAAGCTGCAGGCGCTCTGGCACAGTCAGTACTGGCCAACCTGCAGCAACAACCAGCCTGGGAACAAGTCAAGGTACAGGTACAAGCATTCAGAGCCCAGATGGGGCAGTGGGGACTATTTTTATACTGCCAGTGCCCTGGATAGAGGAAATGGTGTCATGTGCTGAAGAAATTGAATGGTTTTAAAGACTGGAGGAAGCCATCCGATCATCCTGGTAGTGCACCTTTTTCGGCAATACCATATATGGTATCCAATCACAGCCAGAGGAATTTGCTGACCCGAAGAATGCTGACAGCCATCAATCCGAACTGACTCCACACACACCGTAAAACATGTGGCCGAACAAACTGACTTTAGAGCCTTTTGCGGTTTCTCAAGCTCTATCAAACATTTTGGTTGTCTTGGCCCCTTAAACTTGTCGAGTTCTCTTGACAAAAATCACGTTGTACTGCAGTTGACTCAAGCAAAGCCAACATAGCTGTGATGAATTACTGACTGTCTAGAAGATTGGCTTAGCATACCGACTTGGCAGTATGTTCACTGTCGGCTCATTTTGCCAGATTGTGTATCTCTTTCAAGATAGTGATTTTTTGGGGATATCACTAGAAATTGTGAATATTTGCCAGCCTTTTACATTTCTGTCTTTCTTCACAGGGGGAGCTGGAACGCCAGCTTCTGCAAGCCAACCCCATTCTGGAATCTTTTGGCAATGCCAAGACTGTAAAAAATGACAACTCATCTCGCTTTGTGAGTTTATGCTCTCAGTGTCTTGATTTAAGCACATACACAAAAAGTATCTGGGATAGAAAACCTCCTCCACTGATGCAGTCCAACAAGTATTCACAATTCTGACCTATGCGTCACACTTTTTTCTTTTGTCAACACATAGTGTCATATATAGAAATATTGCTTATTCAAATTGACTCTAAAGGTTTGATTGGCAACATATTTTTCTGGTCTATAAAAGTCGTATTTTCACATTTGGTCATATAAATCTTTTTTTTATCTTACACATTTTGTGCCGTACAACTAGCAAGACAGTACCATTTCTTGCCAGCCTGGCTCATAATCCCTGGAAAACCACACTGCGTTTTTTTATTTTATATGTTGGTTTTTAATACAAAACATCAATTGGTGAGATTTTGAGGGTTTGGTCGGTGGGTTTTGTTACATTTAAACCCAGACAAGGTTCTTTTTCAAATTTATTGGGGCTGAGTGAAAGTCATGTCAGAACGAAAGTTACTAAATGTTCTTATGTTTCTTTAACATCAACTTTAAGGCTATTTGAATATTGGGTTCCTTAGTATTCTATTCCATTTGGTTTCATAAAGACACATAGTGTTTCAGTGTTTATTGATAGTATCTCTGATCTCTTGGGGATGCATGAAAATAGTTACAACAATTTTCTCTCAGCAATTAACATTTCTTTGTGACAAAGTCAGCCATGAGGACATGATTAAGCGCCCCACTGTCCAGGTCCTCATGAATCACTGCTGTTTTAGACGGGCAGTGTAACATGCTGGGGCGGTGAACACCACCGGACGGACGGGTGCATGTATTCCCACACACTTAAACACGTTCACTGTCAGGAAACCACAAACATGCCTGAGATTCTTTCTGACCGTTAACCTGGCACTGCCTTATAAAGGCGTTCTGTTCCTCCTGCGTTTCTGTCATCTCAAAAATCCATGAGGTGCAATGTGCTAAAATGCAGCTGCGAACGAAGGGAGGAAATAACAGATAGATTAGAGCTGCGAGCACATGCGTGCACGCACAGTTATACCAACATGTAGAGAACAGTCGTTTAAATTAAGCCAAACCTGAACATGTGTTGTATATGAAGTTATATGTACATCTTGTTGTTTTTTTGCAGGGGAAGTTCATTAGAATCAACTTTGATGTCACAGGATACATTGTCGGGGCCAACATTGAAACCTGTATCCTCATTAAAAGGACAGAGCATTTGAGCAGGGCGAACCATCTGTGTCTGAAACACGTCACCAAGAGCTAAAACATAGACTACGCACAGTTGAAAGAGCGGTGGGGCAGTTGGTGGGACTCACCACAGCTTTTTACTTCACCACAGGAATGCATGTCCCTTTCTGCATGTTTCCCCCCACGGAGCGAGAGGGCACTGAGCTGTAAAAAAGAAACAAAGCTTTCTTTGTTATCCCTCATTTTTATTCAAAATTGAGGGAGATAATAGAAAAACTCACTGAGATAGAATTTCCTTTTTATAACATTGGTGAGATTTGATTCCCTGGTAGTGCAGAGGTTCCATAACGATCCAATAAAAGATTTTTTGTGAAAATGTTTGAAAGTAAAAAATAAATAAATAGAAAGAATAATTCTTATTTTTTACTAAGGTGATAGTTTTATTCCTCTCTAGTCCCTTTCGTTCCCTGTCAGCCCTTAACCCACTGTCTCAGATCTCCTGGAGAAGTCGAGGGCCATAAGGCAAGCAAAAGATGAGAGGACCTTCCACGTTTTCTACCGCCTGCTGGCAGGGGCTGGAGAGCATCTTCGAAGTGAGTGTCTGACCCCTGGCCGCAACTAAAAGGAAACAAATCAAATAATGACAGCGAGATTGCCTCTGTGAGGCTTCAATCAAGAAGCACAGTTTCATAAAGCTGGATTAAATTAGAACCACTACAAAAAGAAGAAAAAAGCATCTGTCTGCTTTTAATTTACCTCATTGGTGCATTTTTTTAGGATGATGCCGAAGATGCTTAGTCAATTGTCGGGTCCTACCATTACAGCATATTTTTCCTATGAAATAGCCTATTTTAAAAGTCAGTTAAGCCCTCTATTATTTTCAAAACTTCTCTTTGTCACACAACCAAACTCTCTCGTGTAAAAAAAATAACAAGACAAATCTAGCTGAGTGTAATTTGAGTGTTTTTTTTTAAATATAAAATAGAAACAAAGAGGAACTTAACAAGACAGGTAGTGATCATAGACACACCAATGACTAGCTGATCACACCAATGACTAGCTGATCCTATTTGCTTTAAAAATGATCAGTGAAAAGCATTTTTATTTTCTCTCACTCTTCAGCCGACCTGCTCCTCGAAGGCTTCAACAACTACCGCTTCCTGTCCAATGGCAACATTCCTATCCCAGGCCAGCAGGACAAGGACAATTTCCAGGAGACAATGGAGGCTATGCACATCATGGGCTTCAACCACGATGAGATAGTCTGTGAGTGCCAGTTGCAGATGTGCCCTGAAACAGTCAACTCTTTCTTCCCCCTAAAATTTAGCATCTCGTCCTTTGTTTTTTATTGTTGGCTTGTCTAATTGCTCCCAGCGATGAAAGAAGGTTTTAATCATGCCCTGTCTTCACCAGGCATGCTGAAGGTGGTCTCGTCAGTGCTACAGTTTGGAAATGTGGTCTTTAAAAAAGAGAGAAATACCGATCAAGCCTCCATGCCTGAGAACACAGGTAAACACTCAGCCTCAATTAAGTACATGCTCAAATACTATATCTTCCTATTGAGAACTAGTATCCAGTACTATGAACATGTGCTTCCTCGTAGGTATAATCAGATGCTTCCTTCTATGCACTTAGCTAACGGTTTAAGGCAAAAATGTGATAAAACGTATCCGTCTCACGGTCAGTCCGATTTTTTTTTAAAAGCCCTGCAGCAGTTGTAAACCGAATAGCCGCGCATTCCTGAATCGTTTTGTTGTATGTTAACTATTATTATTCACATTCCCATGCATGGAATAATCTTTAGAGTGGCGCCCAGCTTTGGTTTCCAGCCCTGCATCACACCATTTTACTTGATGGGCATCTCATCCGATATGTCTGGATGCTTTGTGGCATCATCAGCATGACAACAGATTTATGGGTATGGCTGGACATGCGCATAGCATTAAGTCTTACAGCTCTTGGGGGTAGCCGAAAAACAAAAAAAAAGTTCTCACTTTAACAATCTCCTCTTTGTGCTCGAGAGTGCTCCCTATACTTTGGTCTCAGAGCAGCCAGGAAGACCATGATGTGGATGTAGCCCTATGCCATAGTCTCCTAATTATGAATTTAGAGTGAGACAGCCAAAGATAGATAAATTATTCATTAGAATTTGAGTGGGGGAAGGTTGGTAGTCATCGATACTTATACCTTTGGCTTTAAAAAAAAAAAAAAAAAGAGGTTACACGTTGATCTTTTTTCTTTCTCTATCACTTCCATGTCTCTGTCTGGTGTCATAATTGCAGTCACATGTTAAAAATAGCTTCCTCTGGACTAAGCAGTAGTTTGCATTAAAGTAACTGGACCACCTTAATTCTAGCGCCTGCTCACAGTTCGATTCAGTGTTTGTGTTCCGAAGCTGAGAATACTCCTGCTTTTTAGTTTGTGGTATAAACGTTTAGGTCCACGCCAGTGTTTTGCATCAGGATTCCACAAAACCTTTGGGATTGAAAGGAAAGATGCCAAGAGCATGAAGACAGTTAAGAAAGTTCTTTATTAGATTTTTCTTTGATTCATGTTCAAGCAAGCAAAGAATATGCAAGAATACCATTTTAGATACACATACTTGTTATAAAAGGAGTTACTACTGGCACAAGAGGAGCAACGTGTTTATTAGTGAGGGAGAAAAGAAGGGGGAGGGAAACTTGATAACTGAATTGTGAACTGAGTGTATTTTTCCTAAGAGCCACAAAAATAGTTGATTGTTTGCAGTCAGTTTCTCTCTGTGGTCGGCCACAGAAAATTGAAGTCCCACAAAACACTTTGCCAGTGCTTCTTTCATAAAAACCCATTTGATTCCAATTTGAACTATTTGAAGGCGGCAAATATAAAAGCTGACTTCACATGCAGCCTCTGTTTATGGAATGTGGTGAGTAACAAGCTTCGGTTCCTCTGATTCTCTCAGCGGCGCAGAAGCTCTGCCATCTGCTCGGGATGAATGTTATGGAGTTTACCCGAGCCATCCTCACCCCGAGGATCAAAGTGGGACGCGACTATGTGCAGAAGGCACAGACTAAAGAACAGGTAAGATGCCAGGTAGTGTCAGGTAACCTGTGGGTTGTTATTTGGATTACATTACTATAACAGACCATTTTAGTTTGTCTTTTACACCTTAGCGACTCTGTAAAGGGAAAAAAATCGCACTACAATTCGTGAAGTCTTATCTGCATTGTCAGTGGTGTATAACTCCTGTGGTTCCTCTCTTTGTGGTACCTCAGGCTGACTTTGCGGTTGAAGCCCTGGCCAAGGCAACTTATGAGCGGCTGTTCCGCTGGCTGGTCCACCGCATCAACAAGGCTCTGGACAGAACCAAACGACAGGGCGCGTCCTTCATCGGCATCTTGGACATTGCAGGCTTTGAGATTTTTGAGGTCCTTTGCAAAGCGCAGCGCGCACGCTTTACGCGATCACCAAAAAGAAATAAAAAACTATCCGACTGTGAACAGTTATGTCCTTTTTCTTTCAGCTGAACTCATTCGAGCAGCTGTGCATCAACTACACCAACGAGAAGCTGCAGCAGCTCTTCAACCACACCATGTTCATCCTGGAGCAGGAGGAGTACCAGAGGGAGGGCATCGAGTGGAGCTTCATCGACTTCGGCCTGGACCTGCAGCCCTGCATCGACCTAATAGAGAGACCGGTCAGTGCCTACTGCCCATAAACCCGACTATGCTTTCTACTCACCTGAGTCCCGTTTTTTTTACTGTCTGTGTCTGTGTCTTATCAGAACAACCCCCCGGGAATCCTCGCTTTGCTCGATGAAGAATGTTGGTTTCCCAAGGCCACGGACAAGACGTTTGTAGACAAGGTGCTGCAAGAGCAGGGCACGCACAGCAAGTTTCAGAAGCCACGGCAGCTCAAGGACAAGGCGGACTTCTGCATCATTCATTACGCGGGGCGGGTACGTCTATCAGGCCGGTGAAAGGGCCCTGGGATTAAGACCACACTTTTTTCCAAGGAGTTTTCAGAGAAAACTATCAAAAAAGAAGTTGGTGTCTTTTTTTCAAGAAACGCTGCATGAATTTAGAAAACTGCAATTAATGTCCAGTCTTAGCCAGAGACTTTGCCCTGGTCTTTATGTTTACCTTGCACATCAACTTTGGCCTGGGCTTCTCCGAGGTTAACGGTCGGTGGTGTATTTACCTAGGTCACAGAATGAAAACAATGGCCCAGTTGTTGTGCAGCTGCTGCTGCACTAAACCCACATCTGGTTCACATTGGGGGGAATTCTTTGATGCCTGGTGGTTACATAATTCAAGTTTTGAACTTTCACCTCGGTGTTGAGTTCTGGTATCTATGAAGAGAAAAATGATCCCCTTCAACATTCCTGAAACTGCCACTGTCAGTCATACCAGAAGTCATATATTACCTCTACAGTGATAGTTTAATTAGGAATACCTGTGTCTGTGTTTGGGTTTTTTCCCCTTTGAAATATGTTTTTCCAAACACAGTAAAGACGGTCCTGGACCTGTATCTTGCCATCACAAATAGTTACAAATGCCAACTTCTATCAAATTCTGGAACCGGAAATATGTTTGAATTTCACTAAATGCATGCTGCATGACAGCGATACTGAAGTGGAAAATAAGAGCAAACATTGTGAGTTTCCTTTTCCAGAATTTTGATTAAACCCACATGCAGGACTCTGTCTCAGGTTGCTCAAAGTGTCAGTTACTGCTGTCGTGTTCTTCACTGATCCGACCACTCAGCACTGTAGGTCAGATATTTGAAAATTGCGCACTGTCATCAACTTTCACTCAACAAGCCCATTTGGGTGGCTGCCTCTGAAGTATTCTCATTCTTGCCATTCGCACTGATTTCCTTTGGGGCTTTGAGATGAAAACACAGTAGAAGATTTAGTTGCGCAACCGCTGTAATGCTGCGTTTACTTCCATAGGTGGATTACAAAGCGGATGAGTGGCTGATGAAGAATATGGATCCTCTCAATGACAATGTAGCCACGCTGCTTCACCAGTCCACCGATAAATTTGTGGCAGAGCTTTGGAAGGACGGTGAGCATCTCGTCACTTTCACTTTGCTGTTGGGGGTCATTAAGATCTCAGCCGTTCTACAAGTACAATTATAGATAGAAAGATATTTGGTGCACTATAACTTTACCGCTGTTGAATTAGCTGCTTTAATGGATCTGGTCCTGGCAAAAAGCATGTGGTCAGATTCATCTAACGTGTTGCTAACAGACCTATTGTTAGTATTACATATAAAACGGTATCTTATTCTCACAATAGATATTTTGAGTGAATAATAACATTGTCACATGGAAATCAAAACAATGGTGCAACACTTAACTGTCTTAGCACCAGTGTTGAATAACTGCAAATTAAGTACCAATGTGATGATGAACTAACATTTACTCTTCTTTGTGTGTGTTGGGGGGTATGTGCCCATGGAAGTGTGAGTGAGGGTGTGCTTGAGTTTTGCATGTCTGTTCTCTTCTTTTTCTCTCTCACTCTCCTGTCTTCTCTCTGTTGCTGTAGACATTCAGACGTTTCAGAGAGCCTCTTTCTATGACAATGTGTCTGGGCTCCATGAAGCTCCAGGTGAACGATAGTAGCGTCCCTCGTGTTAACACTGGCTGCTATTCATTCCCTTGGCTCTGCAGGGCTCGTTGTCTCTCTCCCCCTGTCCTGTCATAGCTGCACCCTGCTTCTAAAAGCTCCCCCTCTGGCTTTGCATGGCTCTGCTTGAGTATTATTTAAAACTTGTGACTCTTGCAGTTGTTACTTCCATTAGCAATATTATACAAAAATAATCATTTTTCATGTCAAGCCAGGTATTATTTACCTTTTTGTTCTATGGAAAAAGTCTAAAGGCCTACAATTTACTGTCTTTAAATATTTTTACTGAGTGTTTACTTGATCAGAGGGATGCATTTTAAAGCTGCTAAGAGGCTCTTGTATATTGTGAGCATTTGAACCGACGGGATCCATGACGTGAGGCAGTGTCACCACATGAAAGATTCATAAACTCATCATGCACTCAGTGCAGGGATCAACAGTCAGTTACTATGTGGGGATTTTTACATTCAGAAAGCTCCATCTGAACCATCGGAACATGGAAAGAAAGTGCAGTTTCCAGATTTCCAGTTGCTGTTGTATTTGTGGTGTCATTTATTTGTTTCCAGAAGAACTGAATTTATCTCCCTGCCAAATATCAGGTCCAATTTGATCACATTAATCATGTTTTTTTATAACATTGTATTTCATTGCTGTCCTCCAGATGTAGTTCTCACAGAAATGTTTTTCAGGGTAAAATGGATTAGTTAAAAAGAAAGAACTGTAATGCAGCATTTACAGAATCAATTAGATTCAGGATCTGTTGCCTCTCTTGTTCACAAACGTAGCGTTTTATCTCAGTTTTTGCTGAGATGTTCCTACACCCACACACCAGTAGCCCTCACTTCATCCCTGTGGAGTTTCTGTTGAGAGACCTGAAAACGGTTGTCCACCTACGGCCTCCTTCCAACCTGACGAAACTAGAGAGGATTTGCAAAAAAGAATGTCGGAAAGGTTTGAGACCAGTTTATGCGATTTTAGCTTCAGTTTCAACTCATGAACCTGAAAAAAGGGAGCTGGGTCTGAATCCTTTCTGAAGCTCCTGCATTAGCATCATCTTCCTATTATATAGCGTAATTTGAGCAAATGGATGAAAGCACACAGGTTTTAGTAGTTCATGTAAACATTATGCCAGCCTGATCACTGGAAGAATGTTAAGTGCCTTGACATTTCCTCTCAGCTAAAGACATGTTTTAAGAGATTTTTTGCAACCCCCTGAAGCTAAGCTGAACTACAAAGAGATAAAGCCACAAATGTCAAAGTTAAGGAGAATACTGGAGAAAACCCCACAGATGTTCTCTGCTTTGGACACTTCAGACTTCTTTCTTTTTTCATTGCAATTTATCTTTATCTTATTGTTAGTCGGTGGGTGACCAGCGAGATTGACCTCATTGTTTTTTGTTCTATTTGTGTGTATTACAAAGGATGTGTCCTGGTTATATAAATCAGGCAAGTCAGATCAATTCTGCTTTAAAATGCATTCCAGCAAAAAAATTCTGTAGCATTGAACTGATTAAGAGAAACCACCAGTTGGCAATTATTAGACTATTTTTCTGTGTACAGTAGATTCAAACCAGCTATTTGGCAGTGACATTGTTTCCTGTCTTCATACTTTATCATATAAAAACTTCAACTTTAAAAAAAGAAAAGAGATATGCAAGTGAACTTATCACTAGTTATTGGCAGCATTTCCTGATCAGCATCCTGATGTGACAAATCAGACTGTGAGTCGGTAAAACATGCATCAGAAAAGAAGATTCCGTCCATTTCCGGTCCGATGGCATCTACTCATCCACCTTTATTGTCACGTAAAATATCCCTCACCAGTGGACCGGATCGTGGGTCTGGACCAGGTTGCCGGTATGAACGAGACAGCGTTTGGTGCTGCCTACAAGACCAAGAAAGGCATGTTCCGCACTGTGGGACAGCTGTACAAGGAGCAGCTGTCCAAGCTGATGGCCACACTCAGGAACACCAATCCCAACTTTGTCCGCTGCATCATCCCCAACCATGAAAAAAGAGTGAGTCAAACACCTGGAGCGACTGAGTTCTGCTGCAATCTGATTCATCTGTCTTTTAAGGGATATCTGCTGTCATGTAACTTGTAGAAAATGGTATGGAGAGATGACTGCAGATCTACTGTAAAATCAACTTTTTATTAGAACAGAGCGAAAAACTGACTTTTAGTCAACACCTAGTCTGATGGGCTGGTTTTTTATCACATTATCTGATGTGTTTCCCCATTAGACCAAAGAAATTATGGGAATTACGGAAGTATTAGTATTAGCATGCACTCGTGCGTCAGGATTCTTACCAAAAGAAGCTAATCAGGATCATCAAACATGCTATAGAGGACACATCTCTAGTAGTGCTCAGTGCAAATTAATTCTACATTAAAAATTCCTTAATTATGTTCTCAATTATTCCCTTTCCAGGCTGGTAAACTTGACCCACATCTGGTTTTGGACCAGCTCAGATGTAACGGTGTGTTGGAGGGAATCCGTATCTGCAGACAGGGATTTCCCAACCGTATCGTCTTCCAGGAGTTCAGGCAGAGGTACCGTTTTATCGCTGACTGTTTTTTCATCATAATGTTTCCTTATGGGGTTCTGAACATCTGTGATTCACATAAAACATAATAATATTCTGCTGACTTGTATAATGTTTTCATTAATTGGATAATAATCCAGAGATGAGGTATTCTACTATATGTTGGAATTTCAGAATCCTTGTTAAATGCTTTGGTCCTCATGTTGACAAAGAATATAGATCCTGTGTATTTATTCAACAATGTTTTGTTCTCTTTTATTTTATGAGCAATAGTTCATTGTTCATATGCTGTTCTGTCCTAACCAGATCATTTTGTCTCTGTATTTTGTCTAGATATGAAATTCTCACCCCTAACGCTATTCCCAAAGGCTTTATGGATGGAAAACAGGCCTGCGAGAGAATGGCAAGTATCACCTTGAATAAAAATAGCATTTACCAGCAGTCTGAAGCTTAAAAGTCACTTTATGGAAAATTACTAATCAAATTTTTTAAAAAGTGTGGATATTTAAAAACTGAATGTAATGATACAGTACTTAAAACTTAGGTGATCATTTCAAATTTTCTTTATTTACATTCTGCACAGAATTCCATCATTTTTTAAAATTTTCATAGACAATTGCCTGAAGTCTGAATATTGTCTCCCTCTTTTTAATTGGCAGATTCAGGCATTGGAACTTGACGGGAACCTCTTCCGCATCGGCCAGAGCAAGATCTTCTTCAGGGCAGGAGTCCTGGCCCATCTGGAGGAGGAGAGGGACCTGAAGATCACAGACATCATCATTTACTTCCAGGCCGTCTGTCGAGGTTATCTGGCGCGCAAGTGAGGATTCAACTCATCGCTCCTACCAGCTGGAGCCATTGTATCTGGTCATGAAAGCACAGGTTTCATCCCCCTCACCTCACAAGCTTCCTGCTTGTTTTGCTTCAGGGCCTTTGCTAAGAAGCAGCAGCAGCTCAGCGCCCTGAAAGTCCTCCAGAGGAACTGCGCTGCCTACTTGAAGCTGCGTCACTGGCAGTGGTGGAGGCTCTTCACTAAGGTTACATTCTGTGCTAATAATTAATCATCTGAAAAACAGATCACTCAGCAGCAGAGAACATGTCGTTTTACCAGTCGGCCTAATAGTTTGGTCACTTTTGCTTGTGAACTGAGCTGGAGTGTGTTTTTTTCGTCACCTTGCAGGTGAAGCCCCTCTTGCAGGTGACCAGGCAGGAGGAGGAGATGCAAGCTAAGGACGAAGAGCTGGTCAAAGTGAAAGAGAAGCAGGTGAAGGTGGAAGGTGAGCTGGTGGAGATGGAGAGAAAGCATCAGCAGGTCAGTCACTACAACAGCATAGCTCTTCTCTTAAACGACGGCCCGTCATTCCGCTGATTCCTCAATGCGCACATCTATGTTACTTGTGTGCAGTTGCTTGAAGAGAAGAACATCCTAGCAGAGCAGCTGCAGGCAGAGACAGAGCTGTTCGCGGAGGCCGAGGAGATGAGAGCTCGCCTGGCGTCAAAAAAACAGGAGCTGGAGGAGATCCTGCATGACCTGGAGTCCAGGTTGGAGGAGGAAGAGGAGAGGACTCAAGGCCTGCAGAACGAAAAGAAAAAAATGCAGTCCCACATCCAGGTGTGTGTCGAAAAGTTCTGGGCGTGAATTGCACCCAATTCATAAGGTGCTTTTTAGACGCATCCAAAAAAAAAAAAAAGAAAAGAAAACATGCCGAACGGTCTTGCTCCATGTTTTGTTTTTTTTGTGGTAGGACCTGGAGGAGCAGCTGGATGAAGAAGAAGGTGCCAGGCAGAAACTGCAGCTCGAGAAAGTCACGGCCGAAGCTAAAATGAAGAAGTATGAAGAGGACATTTTGCTCCTCGAGGACCAGAACTCCAAGTTCCTGAAGGTGAGAGCACGACAGATAAAATTACATCGTAAAGTCGTGTGAGGTGATTTTAAAAAGACAATAAGAAAGGTACAGATAAAAAAAAACCTTTGTTTCTTCCCCTTTTAGGAAAAGAAGCTGGTTGAGGACAGAATCAACGAGATGACATCACTGCTGGCTGAAGAGGAAGAGAAGGCCAAGAACCTGGGGAAGATCAAAAACAAGCAGGAGATGATGATGGCCGACCTGGAGGGTAAAGAGGTTAACTAAAAAAAAAACAATTTACCAGGCTGCGGCAACTTTTTCTATACTCATCCACGGTCTTCTCTTCTCATTTTCCGATTCAGAGAGACTAAAGAAGGAGGAGAAGACCCGCCAGGAGCTAGAGAAGGCTAAGAGGAAGCTGGATGGAGAGACCACTGACTTCCAGGACCAGATATCTGAGCTCCAGGCCCAGATCGAAGAGTTCAAAGGTCAGCTGGTCAAGAAAGAGGATGAGCAGCAGATGATGCAGGCCAGGTATTTCTCACACCTCCGCTCAGTGATTGTGAAAGTCTTATATAACTGTGCGAGCTAAATGTGGCTTTTAAAGCCTCACCACCGATTCTCTGAGATTCTGCCTCTCGATGTGAGTCAGTGTGAGATTAGTGCGTTACAGAACAGCCCTCGCAGTTCACAATGAGGAGGCAAGGTAAAGCCACAGCACGCACGCAGGCTTTTTCTCAGCTGGCACCGTTCCGGATCAATGTTGTGTTAGAAAGAAAATAAATGCTGGCAGGCTTCACTTTCTGCTCAGCCGCATGATGGCCAGCAGCAGGCTGTAGAGAGCAGCAGCTTTTATAAAAATGAAGCACAGTGCTGCCACCTGGTGGGGGCTCCCCATGACGCATCCCCCTTGACATTCTTAGTTTTTCATACTTGTGCCCTTACTTGAATTTTATTTTGCTTAGAAACGATACTGTACAAAAGCCGTGAGCCAGTCTTCATTTCTTTACATTTGTGCCTCCAAGCCGGCAGATTTTTTTAAATAATCTCATAAAATTCTCTTGAGTAATGACTTTCTTCAGATCTTTGAAACTTTTTCTTGAGATATGGACTTTTTCACTTGTTTTTCACTTGTATAGCTGAGCCCTAACAAGCAATGTGGTTATTTTGTTGGTCGGATCATTTAACACTGACCTACAAATAAGTATAAGCCGGTAAAGCCTCAACCCAAATAGACAGGATGGTGAAGAACCTGTTTTGAATAGTTTCCTCAGGCACTGACACGTGAAATTTTCTTGTTTCTCAACTTTTTTTTTAACGCCAAGTATAGCACATTTTCACTGAAATTAGATCATTTTATACCAACAAAGTGATTCCCAAAGATCTATTAGCTCAAGACTTGGCAGGAGGTTCCCCAGGACCGTCGAGTGATCCATCTACTGTTCACAAAAGCCTTATCAGAAACAGCTACTGTGGAAGAGTGGATGCCAAGAAGCCATTCTTCAGAAAGAATGTTAAAAAGTCAGATGGATGCCAAACGAAACATAAAGTGGACTGAAAATCACTGGCAGCAGGTCACATCAATGGATGAATCCTCCCCAGAATTCCTGACTCTAGATCAGATTAGATTAGATTACTGTATTGATCCAACGGTGGGGAAATTCACTCATTTGAGCAGTTTGGTATAATTTTTTTTACGACACTTAACATATTAGATCAGAACAAGAGGCAGCCAAAATCCGAAGCTTTGGGAATCCTTCAGTGAGCCTAGAATGGCAAAATTCCAGACTGTGGTGCAGAATGGCTGTATCAAGGATTGATGTGCATGCTCTTTAGAATGGTAGAGTTTTTGGCCACCGTGTTCAATGTTTCTCTGCTTCTCACCCGACGCGATTTACCAGAGGTGATGAGGAAGTCACCCAGAAGAACAACGCTCTGAAGCAGATCAGGGAGCTGCAGGCCCAGCTGTCCGAGCTGCAGGAGGACCTCGAGTCGGAGAAGCAGGCCAGGAATAAGGCCGAGAAGCTCAAGAGGGACTTGAGTGAGGAGCTCGAGGCCCTCAAGACTGAGCTGGAGGACACCCTTGACACGACGGCCGCCCAGCAGGAGCTCAGGTGCCGAACCCTTCCTATCTCTCTCTGTCTTGGTGCACGGTGGGCTCTCTGCAGACCGTGTCGCTGATTTCTGCAGGACCAAGCGCGAACAGGAGGTTGCGGAGCTGAAGAAAGCCATCGAGGAAGAGGCCAAAAACCACGAGGCACAGATCCAGGAGATGCGGCAGAGACACGGGACCGCCCTGGAGGAGCTGTCCGAGCAGCTGGAGCAGGCCAAGAGGGTGCAGGAGCTTCCCAAAAGGAAATGCACCAGAGAAGAGAAGTGAGCCGTTCATCATTTGCTCACACGAAATGTCTGTCTGTGGATCTAGTTCAAGGCCAACCTGGAAAAGACGAAGCAGAGCCAGGAGAGCACCAACAAGGAGCTGGCCAGTGAGGTGAAGAGCCTGCAGCAGGCCAAGACGGAGTCCGAGCACAAGAGGAAGAAGCTGGAGGCTCAACTGCAGGAGTTCATGGCCCGAGTCACAGAGGGGGAGAGGGCCAAGGGGGAGCTGGCCGACCGCTCGCACAAGCTGCAGGTCAGCCCCACTCTGTTTTTAACAACTTTTGGGTTTTTTTATTTTGCCATAGAATAAACAATTGATTCTTACGTTTTTTTTTTGTTATAATAAACTTCGTCTTCTGCAGATTTCAGAACAGTTGTAGCTTTGGTTTAAGGTTCTAAAAAACACACTTCAAAGCAATGATGTGGTTTGAACTGCCTTGTACAGGCCGAGCTGGACAACGTCTCGGCCCTGCTGGAAGACGCAGAGAGAAAAGGGATCAAGATGACCAAAGACGTCACCGGATTAGAGAGCCAGCTGCAAGACACCCAGGTGACCTCCACATTTCTGTGAAAGATCAAACCCTTTACTCGTGGACCCCCTCCCTTAAAACTACCCTCATTTCATTCCAGGAGCTGCTCCAGGAAGAGACCCGTCAGAAACTAAACCTGAGCAGTCGCATTCGCCAGCTGGAGGAGGAGAAAAACGCCCTGCAGGAGCAGCAGGAGGAGGACGAGGGGGCACGCAAGAATCTGGAGAAGCAGCTGCTCACCCTGCAGGCTCAGGTGGGGCGGAAGTGGAAATGTTCTGACCAACCTGTGGCCAATGCCCTGCTTCCGTTTCATCCCGGCTCTCCCGCTGTGTTTTGTGCAGCTCTCTGAAAGCAAGAAGAAGCTGGAGGATGACGTGGGGACGATCGAGGGCCTGGAGGAAGCCAAGAAGAAACTGCAGAAGGACTTTGAGCTGTCCAGCCAGCGTCTGGAGGAGAAGTCCATCGCCTTTGAGAAGATGGAGAAGACAAAGACGCGTCTGCAGCAGGAGCTGGACGACATAACCGTTGACTTGGATCATCAGAGACAGATCGTCTCCAACCTGGAGAAGAAGCAGAAGAAGTTCGACCAGGTCACTTGGGATTCTGAGCGGCTAACGATTGAGCAAATCGAGTTTCCCCCCTAAAATCCGCCCCCCTTCTCCTGCAGATGCTGGCCGAGGAGAAGAGCATCTCGGCCCGCTTCGCCGAGGAGCGGGACCGCGCCGAAGCCGAGGCCCGAGAAAAGGAGACCAAAACTCTGTCCCTGACCCGAGCCCTGGACGAGGCGCTGGAGGCCAAAGAGGAGCTGGAGCGGGTCAACAAGCAGCTGCGCGCCGAAATGGAAGATCTGATGAGCTCCAAGGACGACGTGGGAAAGAATGTGAGGAGGGGGGGGCTCAATGCTACCTCTGACGTCCCCGTTCTCTTCCTGTTTAACCCCCTCTTCCCGCTCCCGTCTCGCAGGTCCACGAGCTGGAGAAGTCCAAGCGCACCCTGGAGCAGCAGCTGGAGGAGATGAAGACGCAGCTGGAGGAGCTGGAGGACGAGCTGCAGGCCACCGAGGACGCCAAGCTGCGCCTGGAGGTCAACATGCAGGCCATGAAGGC